GTGACCAGAAGTTAAATAAAAACTCAGGAGGGCGGTTTCAGCTTCTGTCTGATTTACGGGAAGATTTTTCTGATGCTGAGAAAGGAAAAAAGTATGAGGAAATGGAAAAACTGCAGGAAACGGATGACTCAGATTCTGAAATTGAAGTGGGTTGTATGGAACAACAAGCTGATCAGACGCATGAATCAAATGCTGTGCAGTTTTTAACCTTAGATGATGCGATCATTGCGGAAACAAATGAGATGACAATAATCGAAGATGTGAGGTTAGTAGTTTCTGATGGAGAGGAAACAAAGAAGAAGCTTGAACGTCCGAAGGGTTCAACCAAAACAGTGAAGCTTCCTGGTCCAAAAACTTGTACTTCGACGAGATTCATTAGTGATCTATCCTCCAAAATCATCAATGAATACCCATCTCATATGGAATATTCGGGAATCGGTAATAAACCTTCTCTTCGGAGGCTCAAAAACCTAATTAAACAGTACTCTATTTTGTTAGTTGTTATTCTGGAACCCATGTTACCAATTTCTCAGCTTGAAGAAAAAAAAATGAAGCTCAATTTCTCTTCCGCTTACGCTTCTGTTACAAGTAAGATTTGGATTTTCAGTTCAGCGGTGTGGTCGGTGAATGTTTTGGGAGGTTCAGAACAGGTTCTTCATATGGAGTTAGAGAATTTAAGCTTATCAAAGAAGGTTCTATTTTCAGCGGTGTACGCAAAGTCTTAAAGAGTTGACCGGCTTTCTCTTTGGGCTGAATTGTTGGACTTTCACCAGCAGCATATTGGACAACCATGGGCAATTGATGGGGACTATAACGTGATTCGTTGTTCAGAGGAATATGAGGGTTGTTCCATTCCGGATAGAGGAGCTATGGATGATTTTAATACATGGATTAATGCATGTACCCTCTCCGAATTGACACCTTTGGGTAATCCTTTTACATGGAAAGGAATGGGACAAAATGGTAGGGTTCTAAAGAAGTTGGATCGTATCCTTTTCAATACAGAATGGATGGAACTTTTCTCATCTTCTTCAGTCCAACATTTAAACAGAACCACCTCCGATCATTCACCTCTTCTTCACCAATTCAAATGTGATGTTGTGACAAGACCGAGACTATTCCGTTTTCAAAAGATGTGGCTACGAAGGGACAATTGTCTGGCGGTTGTAAAAGAATGTTGGGATCAACCAGTTGAGTATTTTGGTTTGTTCGCTTTCTCTATAAAGTTACGAAGGCTGAAGCTCCGATTAAAAGAATGGAATAAAGTGGAATTTGGAGATGTTTTTCAGAATTTAAAAGCAGCAGAGGAAGATCTTCAGAGTAAAGAGTTCAGGTATGATCAAACTGAGAATGAAACCGACAGAATGGAATTACACCGGTCGCAGGCACATTTGCTTAACAAACTAAGAGAAAGGGATGATTTTTTACAGCAGAAATCGCGACTGAAATGGCTCAAAGATGGGGATGTTTACTCGGCTTTCTTCCATGCTTCACTAATTGAAGGAAAGGCGCGGCAAGGAATTTATAAAATTAGGATGAGAGATGGTACTTGGGTTACTCAACGGGAAGACATTAAACAGGAAGTAATTTCATATTTTCAGGAAGTACTTTCGGAAGAAGGAGGGTCCCAACATGAAGAAGCATGTGGTCGGATTTTAGAGCATATTCCATCACTTCTAAATACGGAGGAAAATGAAGCTTTAGTAGCGCCGCTTACAAGGGATGCAATAAAGCAGTTGTTTTCGGTTTAGACCCCTCTAGCGCTCCCGGAATCGATGGTTTTGGAGGTGAATTTTACAGAAGTTGCTGGAGCATTATCATTGATGATTTGGAAGCAGCATGTCAAGAGCTTTATGATGGGAATTCCACTCCATTGTGTGATTGCTAGTACCGTTATTACTTTGATCCCGAAGAAAAGTACAGCTACTTCTTTTGCGGACTTCAGGCCAATCAGTTTATGTAATTTCATAAACAAGATCATTACGAAGTTGCTTACTAAGAGATTGAAAAAGGTGCTTCCGAAACTCATATCGGAAGAACAATCAGCATTTTTCCAAGGAAGAGATATTGTAGATAATGTTCTTTTAACGCAAGATCTACTTCAATTTCCGGATCATCCAACAAGAGGAGAAAATTTAATTTTGAAAGTAGACATGATGAAAGCTTTTGATAGAGTATCGTGGGAGTAGATGGATAATGTTGAAATTTGGGTTTCATCAGCATTTTGTGGATTTGGTGATATCTAATCTTTCTAGAAGTTGGTTCTCAATACTCTTGAATGGTAGTCCAGCGGGATTTCTCCAAGCTTCAAGAGGAATCAAGTAAGGTGATCCATTATCGCCTTATATGTTCATCATCATGTCAGAAGCTTTTACCCGAAATATGAGAAGGCTGGCTGGAAATGGGAAGATAGCAGTGTATGGTGTTCCTGCTGGTTCAAGAATAGTGTCTCATCTATGTTTCGTAGATGACCTAATCATCTTCACAAAAGGTCTCCGAAATTCTATGTTGCAACTGAATGATTTCTTTTAGGATTATGAAGCAGCAACTGGACAAAGGATGAATAAACAGAAAAGCATGCTTTTGTTTATGAAAAGAGTAGTGTTGATCATGTTTCATTAGTGGCTCAAGCTCTTCAAATGCCAAAAGGGAACCTCCCTTTCAGATACTTAGGTTGTAACCTTTTTAAAGGAAGGAAGAAAGGAGAATATTTCTAACACCTCTTGGATGCTTTTGATGCCAAGCCAGGAAATTGGAAAAATAAGATGTTGTTGGTGAGAGGAAGGATACGACATGTCTTATCAACAATACCTATTCATACAATAGGAGCAATAGCGCCAACAAAATTAGTATTGGAAGCTCTTGAAAAGAAATGTCAATGTTTTCTTTGGGGGTGGGAAATGACTTAGGGAGTAAAAGACATTGGAGAACTAGGAGTTGTCTTACTTTTCCGGTTGAGGAAAATGGCTTAGGATTTCGGAAGCTAGAGGATACAGTACTTGCTTTTTCAATGAAGCTATGGTGGAAAATCCAAAACAATCAAGGTGTTTGGACTCGGTTTATAGCATCTTTGTCGCCCACTGCTAAAGAAAAAATAAATTGGAAAAAAGTACTAAAGGTGGACAATCAAGTTGCTGTAAGAAGCATGAGGATTATCAATGATGGGGCATCATCTTTTTGGTTTGATAATTGGCTGGACACAGGGATCATATGGAGAGCAATATCAACTCCTCCAATGCCACATCTAACAGTGAAGGATTTTTTTGTCGCTAAACTTTTCTATTTGCAGGAATTTGCGAAGTTCCTCAATACTCAACTTGTGGAGAAGTTGTCAATGGAGATGTCCTTTAATGAAGAGCAAGACCACTTTGTGTGGAAACCAAATCCAATGGGGGCTTTCACCATCTAATCTGCTTATTCCTGAACTTCGGGAAAAAAGAGAAGAAAATCTTTTTTAAAAAAATATTTGGCATAAAATTTTGCCATTAAAAATCTCTTTTCTCATGTGGAAGCTTTATAATAAATTGCTACTTTTCCTGAAATTTTCAGAGCATGGGAATTCACTCTAGACCATTAAGATGCCCAATTTGTTGTGAAGAGGAGGAAAATATAGATCATATATTCTTTCAATGTGCAAAGGTAAAACCAATTTGGAATAGCTTTGCATCATATTTAGATATTTCCTCTTCTAATCATGCAGGATAGTAGAGTACTATACAAGCTTGGCACTCCGTAGGGAGCTAGACTACAGCAAAGCGGACTATTCAAATGGTGCTCCCAATTTTCCTAATGTGAGAGATTTGGAAGACTTGTAACAAGGCAATATATGATGGTACCAATTTCTACTCGGATGCCCTTGTTAAGAACGTTAATACCCACATTTCAAGCATGCTTAGTGTGCATAAGCTTCAAGCAAAATCAATTGAGGAGAAGCAAGAACTTGAAATGATGTTTGCTACAAAAATTTTACCTTCCAAGCAGAAAATGATTTGATCATTAAGATGGCAGCCGCCAGAACCAGGAGAGACAATTTTAAATACAGATGGCTCAGCACTTGGTCAACCTGGAGAAGCTGGATAGGGCTATATAATACGAGGAGTTAGTAGAGATTTTATCAAAGCTGAATGCAAATATATGGGACAAGCGTTGAGTCTAGAAGCGGAGCTTGAGGCCATTTTAAATGGCTTAAAGGCTTGTGAAGCAAGAAGAATATCCCAGGTGGTGGTCCAAACAGATAGAAACGCAATAGTGCAACTTCTTCAAAGGAATGATGTTTTTCCTTGGCGTTACAAGTCAAGGCTTCGGCAGATACAAAGAATGTTAACTGCCCCAAATTCAAAAATAGTCCATATCTATCGAGTAGTGAACAATGTGACAGATGCTTTGGCAAAACAATATTCCAGAAGAGTCACTACTCAATATAACTCGCAGCATAAACTTCCAGTCTTAATAAGAGGTAAGTGGTATTTAGATAAGTGCTCATTTCCATATTTGAGGATTAGATAGTTTTTCTTTTAATGTAATGTAATAGATTATGAATATTTAAGTGTAGGGAGAAAAAAGAGAAGTCATGGGGTTTATGGGTAAACCTTTGTAAGGCTTGCTCTTAGTTAAAATATTCGAATATAGAGATACCATGAGATTTTAGTATAATCTTTGTAAGACATCTTTTTAGCTTTTTTGAAAAATAGAGCTGTCATGGAATTTTAGGAAATATTTGTACAATAGTCTTTCTTTTGGACAAGTCTTAAGCATTGCATGTGTAATTTTTTTTTCACTATATTAATAAAATCGGGAATGCCCGACAAGTACCATCTTGGTTTTCCTAAAAAAAAAAAAAATACAAAATGAATTTTATCACCTCCCAATTTTGTGCCAAACATACAGAAATATTTTGTATTAATATATATGATTTCTTCATTTTTGTTTGTTTGTAGCGGATAAAAAGTTTAAAAATAAAAAGTCCCGCTTTGACCAGATTACATTTAGCGCGCTTTTGCAAAAGCTTCTCTAATACTCTTTCCCAGATATCTCCTTCAAGCTTCTCTCTACACACTCCGGACGAACTTCTCTGGCCTCTAAATCCCTGGCAGAACCTTAAAAACGACATCGTCAAAAGCTAACGCCACTCGCGTCCGCCGCTAAAACCACCGATTCACAGTCACAGTATTCCATTTTATGCAGGCAGATTGTTGCAATTAATCGTAACCCAAATGTCCATTCTGCAATAAGTTAAGGATTTTGGGCGTTTTTACTTCGGTAACTTCCAAAATTAAAACCGTCTGATTCTTCTTCTTCCTAGGTGTGACTAGGCTTCTCCGGGCGATTACACACTGGGCAATCGAAATTTGAGGGAATTGAAGAAACCCTATGGCTTAGTTCAACTCTAAAAAGGTTCTGATTCTCGATCGGCAATTGAAGAAGACGAGGTATGTTTCTGATTTTGATTTTAAGGTTATTTAGGTTATCTGTCATTCGAGGCAAAAATGTTAAATTCTTGTTGGAAAGTTAAAAGATTTTTAGGCAAATGCTTGTCAAATTGTGTTTATTAATCAGTCAAAAAAAATTGCAAAGTTTATTATTATTTGTGTAATTTTTAATTATTAATCAATAAGTTAGGAGAAGTGATTTCCATAAGTGCAATCTTATGCCGTGTTGTTTTGGGGTAAATTGTGTTTGAATATCGCTCATCTGTTATGGCACAATCTCTTTAAATCATGTTAATTTTGTTGATATTTAATATGGAGTAGTTCTGTTATGCCGTGTTGTTTTGGGGTAAACGGTGTTTGAATATTGCTCATCTGTTATGGCACAATCTCTTAAAATGATGTTAATTTGGTTGATCTATAACATGGAGTAGATCTGTCAGATGGAGGGGAACTTGGAGAAGTCACCACAGCTTGGTTCTCCTGATGAGATAGAGGCTAAGTATATATCTGGGCTTAGTACTGTCCTGGTTGCCACCGTGCAGGAAGCTAAAGATAGGATTTCTCAGATTGAGTATGTCTTCTGCAGTCAGTTGTATCCTCATTTTCAAGCCAAATCGAAAACCCTCCAGAAACTTTACTCCGAGGCCAGAGAATCTGTTGAAAATCATTTCATCGAGAAAGAAAAGGATCTTTTGGTTCAGATTGAAAAGCTTCAGCAGGAGAAGCAACAGCTTTGTGATGAAATGAGTGTTCTGAAGTTGGGGAGGGAAGAGTTTGATAAAATTGGCTTGTCACCTGATGAGGTCCGCAAACTCCAGAAAGAATTAAATAGCAAGAATTTTTGGGTTACACACTATGAAGCTAAAGTGAGGGAATTGGACAAGACAATCGACCTTAAAGATGAAATAATAGAATTCAAGACGAACAAGTTTGATGAATGGCATGGTAAATATTTTGACCTTAGAGACCAGTACAGAAAGGAAGTAGAAGAACTGAAATCAGAGTTAGCAAACCAGACTAAGATTGTCGATGCAGGAATGTATTTGCAGAATGAACTTCTTCGGGTGCTTCAGTCATACGCACCTATAGCAGCAGATAAGGAAGAACCCTTGGAAGGTCTGAAAGATAAGGCAGACTTACTTCTAGGCAGAGTTAAGGATATGGTTAAAAAGATTTCTGAACTTCAAAAGGACCTCAAACACAAGACTCAGGAAGTTGAGAAGGGAAGAGTGGTGGAAACTAATCTTCTTAGAAAAATCGAATCACAAGGTGCAGAAATAATGGACTACGAACAACAGTCAAGCGGTTTTGAAAAGGAGAAAAAAGTATTTACTACCAAGCTGGAGAGCTTGGAGAATGATGTTGATTCACTGAGGAAAGAGATAAGTAAGAAAAATGATGAAGTTGAAGAAGGAAGAAAAGTAAAGGAGCAGCTCATCCAGCAAATAGATCTGCATAATCTAGAAAAGGTCCAGCAGGACCAGAAATATGAAGAGCTCAAGAAGGAGAAGCTGCAGCTTCTGGCTAAACTAGCAGGCTCAATAGAGAAATCTGATATCTGTCAAGCTACTGCACATAAGAGAGGCGTGGAATCATCAGAGGATACGGAATTGAATAGGAAGTTACTTCAGGAGATTGAAGCTAAAGACTCACAATTGATGTTTGAAAAGCAGAAGAGAAAGGATGTCATTGTTGCTTATAAGAAGTTGAAATCTCAATACAACTTTTTATGTTCAAAATATGGTCTTACAAAAGAAAATGCAACCCCGCTAGATAGAAAGGAAGAAGAAAGTGATTCTTTGAGGCATAATCAGCACAAACTACTTTCAGCTGGTATGTTCTGTTTTCCCGATCTCTGGACACCTCAATCATGAAAATTAATGTGTTTGTACTTCTTGGATGAAGAATAGTCAGTCGTTAGGATCTTTGTTTTACATTATTCATTTAAGCTTGATAGAAGCCATTCTCTACCTGTGCGAAAATGTGATTGAACCATACAATAGCTTTCTTTGATTCCTTTTTGGTTGCCCTCCTTGGTGGTATTCTTATGCACTGATCATCAGTTAACTCCTTATATTTGAATTTATGAACATCTACAGATCAAAATGCTCATGGTGTTTCTAGTGAGGCAAGTAGTGCAAAAAGTGGAGAAGAAGGGTTGGATAACGATAAGGGAGTTCAAAGTATTCAAAGATCAAACTCTGTGTCACCTTCTTCAACAAAATTTGTCCAGCCCAAATCTGCAACAAAAGTCAAGTCCTGCCCACCAGCTGGAACTAAGCGTCCTGTTTCTTATTGGAGGGACACCAGGTCCCATCAAAGTCGAGTTGGGCCTGATCTTCATGATGATTTCCTCGATACCCCTTTGGAGAAAATCCGAGAAGATATGGGTAACGGTAAAAAAGATGGAGTTTTGTTTCCTGAGAAACTAGGTTCAAACGACTCGGATTTTGACAACTCTGATGATGAAACACAGGACATGGATGTTGAGCATAAATTAGAAAGGCCCCGATTTCCATCTTCAGGACCTGGTACATCAGATTTCAAGTATGTGGAACCTGTAAGAAAGAAAAGTGCTAGGGAAAATTTGAAAGGAATTGAATGCAAGCAATGTAAAAAGTTCTATGATGCTGTGCTCCCAAATGAAAGCAAAGATGCGGATGGGAATGCTCAGAACCTTCGCTGCGAGCATCACGATGGGGTTTCTCGCCACCGCTATAGGTACGCTCCACCTCTGACTCCTGAGGGCTTTTGGAATATCGGATTCGAGTCAGAAATGTGATCTCCAGTTGTATGATGTGTTCGTGGAACCATTACATTCCATTCTTATGATTCCCTTAAACAAAATATTGGAAAATTAAGGAAAAGCCATGTTTCAGAAATGTGTTGTATCGCATGCTGTATGTCGTAATCTAGTCCTAGATGAACTATTGTTTCAACTGAGGGCGTAAAGAGAAGTTTGAATTCTTTGATAAGAAAGTTCTGTTCTTTATTTTGAGGAATGCACGCCCTTGAGCAAACAGAAAAACATCAAAACTGCTGAGCAACTCTTTCCTCCTTAAAGTTCATTATTTCAGTCGCGGTATTCATTTTAAGGAACGTGGATACTGAAATTCTGAATGAGATGCTCTAGGGTGGAAACTCTGAAAGAAATGCCTGTCGCAAAGAAGGATCATCAGGAATCCTTTGAACATTCGTTCCTCTTTATTATATGACTATACTTCTTCAACCTTTTGTTAATTAATCGGATTATAAGGCTGCATAAAGGGATTTGGTCGAGATGATTCAGATGTGCATAGATGATTGTTTGTTTTACATCATGATTCAGTAGTTCCCGAAACAGGAAATATAGCAAGATTCATCCTCCCATTTTCATTTCATTGGCAAGCACCAAGCGAGGGTTATCACAATCACAAATCCTTCGAATTTTGACCACCATCATTGAATTCTTGCAGCTCTTTGTACTTTGTCCCCGTCAAAACACATATCAACCATTTTAGGGAGTAAAATACGCGATAACTTTCAGGTTGGGGGTGACTTAGGATTTCAGTGGTTAATGGTTTCCTGCATTGCCGAGGATATCGACATATATCATACATCAGGATCTTATCTGTTCCATTTTCATATAGTCATGTGACAAAATTTAACGATGATCGAGCTGGGTTTGTCGCGAAATCTGTGGGAGTTCAACAGAGGGTCTTGAGATCGGCAGATGAGATTTAGGATCATCCTTAAAGGGCTGAATGCATATTGAAGGGTTGCTTGTCTGAGAACAGGTTTTTTTTTTTTAATCAGCTGATCTACATCTTTTGTGTAGGTGCTAGTTTTCGATCCTAACAACACAATTTGTACCAAATGGACACAACCCCTGGTGGTCTATTACTAACCATTTCGTTGGTGCCATTTTTCCTTCTTGAATTTTAAAGTTTTGTTCAATTTATATATTCGGTTAGTTGGACATAGAACTCGAAATACTCAGCTGTCTCTAACCAATTGCTCTTATTGTATTAAAATAACTCTGTAAATAGAGCAATAATTCTAGATATCGAGGCTATAGGTGCAAAATGCATAGTTATTATGACTTAATATTGTGCCAAAGCTCTGAGTATCACCGTTCAGCTCACGCCTCCACTCAAAACAAACTACATCCCTCATTTCCTTATTCACTTAGACAGTCAATTATCACGCAAAAAACTGCTTAATGTAGTTGAAACAATTGATCCATAGCAAATTTCCAATACTAGCAGTTGACAATTTTCTTTTTATTTTTTATTTTTTTATTTTTTTGATTCAGTACACTCACAAGGTATGATATTAAAATAATATATTATGTTCTAACCATGGTTTGATTCCGATAGAAACAGTTGATTTTATTAATCCCAGACAATTCTACGAGCATTTTTAGTGGTATATATCAAGTTAATTACTAATTAATTACACTCTTTACTATTATATGGAGTATAATAATATTAAATACTATAAGCATTCTTACACGATGTACTATTTAATTTTGTAAGTCACAGTTTAATTTAATGGAGGTTGACCTAGTTAATTTTATTATGCTTTTATAATGTATACTAGCTCTGTTTTCGTCACGCTACGTGCGACCAGTTCTTTTTTTGAGCTGAAAAGGGCAACCACCTATTTAATTTCTTCTTTATAAGCTTGATATGTCTAATGCACTCACGTGAAAACTTGATTTTTGATATTTCTGAGTAAATTTCTACCGTTTTTAACACATACACACAATCATATAGTTTTGTCTACAACAATAAAATCAAACTTTTAAATGAGAAAAATATCACTTTTCAATTTACACAACGAAATGAAGAATTTTAATAACTAAATTCCTAAGCAAACAAAATCACGCATTCAAATGAAAATGGAAAGATTGCTAAAAGATCTGGAGTGCATTACATTAGTAAAATTCAAAAAAAAAAATCTCCTTAGAAACATTATTTCTGCAATTGAGACTGTAACTAAAACAAAACTATCCATAGCATGAAGTGCCCCATTAATAAGCACATCTAAAAGAACATATGAATGTGTTTTCCGATGTGAATTGTGAGCTCAATTCTTCTCGGAAAACCATTTCTTTCTTTCTTTTTTTGTTGTAATTTTTTTCCTGTTTCGCTCTCCGTGAATCAAAGTGGATGTGACTAATATTGTTATGTGTACTCTCTATGTACAGGATCGGGGCGGTTATTTTTATAACTAACATTCCCGCCTCTGTTTTATTTTGGTTTTTATCTTCTTTTTATGATTTTTATTTTGTTTTCAATAAACATTTTCTGTTTTATCTGACATACTCATTTGCTATATCCTTCCAAATTTGATCTCAACATTCTTCGTTAATTATATAATCACATTCACAAATTAAAAATTGAGTGAACCTCAAAACAAGTCATCAATCTTTAATATATTTTCACTCTAGATCATCAATTAAATTTATTTGCAGCACAGATTACCTTACTAAAGTTTTAATCCATTTCAGATCATTCTATTAATTTTGGCCGTTAAATAGTGACGGAAATCCATTTTTCACATGCTTTTGGGTTCAGGGGTATTTTAGTCATTTTATTATTATTTTTTAATTTTTTAAATCTTTTAATTTTTTATTTTTTTTTTACAATTCTTCTTCTTATACTTCCTAGCTTGTATTTATTTTCCTTTCGTATTTTAACTTCTAGATTATAAAAATCTTTTTTAAAAAAATTTTTAAGAAATGAAGAAGAAAAATTCGAGTTAAAGTAAATATGAAAATTAATAATTTAACATTTTTAAAAAAAAGAAAAACTAAAAGAATTAGCTAAGACAAGTTATTTCTTCTAGGTTATTTAATTTTTTCCAACTCGATTGAATTATTTAATTATTAATTTTCACGTTTCTTATTTTTTTTTTTTTTGTAATCTAGAAGTTAAGATACAAACGAAAAATAAATTCGTTTCTGAAAATTAATTTTTTATTTTTATATTAACTTGTAGATTATTAAAAAAAAGGAATAAGAAACGTGAAAATTAATAATTAAATAATTCAATCAAGTTGAAAAAAATTAAATAATTTAGAAAAAACAACTTGTCTTAGCTAATTATTTTAATTTTTTATTTTTTAAAAAAATGTTAAAATATTTATTTTCATGTTTACTTTAACTCGAATTTTTCTTCTTCATTTCTCAATTTTCTTAAAAAAAAATTTTATAATCTAGAAGTTAAAATACAAAAGGAAAATAAATTTTTTAAATTTAGAATTGTACTACCAGTGTATACAAGTTAGGAAGTATAAGAAGAAGAATTGTAAAAAAAAAAAAATTTAAAAAGATTAAAAAATACAAATAAAATAATAAAATGACAAAAATACCCTTGAACCCAAAAGCATGTGAAAAATAGATTTCCGTCACTATTTAACGGCCAAATTAACAGAATGATCTGAAATGGATTAAAACTTTAGTAAGGTAACCTGTGTTACAAATAAATTTAATTGATGACCTAGAGTGAAAATATAATAAAGGTTGATGACTTGTTTTGAGGTTCACTCTTAAAAATTTACAATAATATTATTTTATTTTGATAATTATATATAAAGATGATAAACAAATAGAACATGTAACCAAAGAGATAAATTTTGACAATGTGTCATGTTCTCAAGCCATGTTTTCCTGTTTTAAAGAAACAACGCCGCTGATGGCAAAAAATTAAAAAAAAAAAAAAACTGTACGAGTTAAAATTACATAATAAATTAAAGTAGAATATTGTTATCGCATTCAAATTAATTACCCTAATGTCATTCCGTTAATCAATCAAATTATTACATATGACCTCATTCCTTTAAAAGAAACGACTTCGTTTATTTAAAATTTAACAACAATATTTTTTTATTTTGATGATTATATAAGATGGTAAATAAGTAGAACATGTTGCCAAAGAAAAATTTTGATGATGTGTCACGTTCTTATGTTAGTTTTCCCGTTTAAAAGAAACGATCCCGTAATAGTGTTAAAAAAAAAATTGAAACTTCAGCGAATAAAATTACGGAATAAATTAAAGTCCAATATTTTTATTGGATTCAAATTTAATTATGTTAATGTCATTCTTTTAATCAATCAAACTGCTACATATGATCGAATTCCTTTAAATCAAACAATGTCTACAGTACCCCCTCAAAAAAAAAGTTGAAACTGCACCTTAAGAAGATTTGTAGAGAAAGAAGGGAGGAAAAGCAGCCGAAAAAATTGAAAGTAAAAATAAGTAAAAAAAAATGGCATTTTAATTGGTAATATCGGATAGTAAAAAAGAAAAACAAGCCCTTACAATTGGCAAAAAAATGATATTTGTATTGGCAAAAAAAGAAAAATAATTGGCAGTCGTTGTTTAGCCTGCCACATTAATTAGGTTATTTCTCTAGACTAATGACATATTTGGTTGGCAATAAAAGAAAAAAAAAATTTATTAATTTGACCGTTGTCGTCTTGTTTTAAATTGTTGATGCCATGTTAATATATTAACCAATCAAAGTGCTTAATTTAAAACTGACCATGTCATATTAACTAATAGGCCAATCAGAATGCTCAATTTAATTTCTGACAAATCACGTTCATGATTCTAAACTCAATAAGAGATATTTACTTATTTAGAGATAAAACTAATATGAAAAAATAGAATAAAATATAATAATGTAAAATGATGATGTGGTAAGTGCATTACATCCTCTAATGATATAAATCATAGAAAATGCTCTATTCAAACATATACATTTCTTTAATAATATTTCTCTTAGCTGTTTACGTAAGTTTTAGAATTGGATAGACCTCATACACTGATTGTTTTAATTCTTTTTACTTTTTTGTTGAAAATACTGTTTTAAATCTATTTAACATCATCTTTTCTTTTATAGGAAAATAATTAAAACAAAAGAAAAGAAAATAATTAAAACACCAGAATGAGTTTCACTGCAATTTGACCAATGTTGGGCAACTACGTACGTCAACAACGAGAATATCTTCACGTTCCCCCTCCTGGTTTTCCCCCGCATTTTCATGTGATCTAATGTAATGGATTAGGTTGGCAAAACAAGAAAAAAGGGAGTTGGCATAAAACAAAGGAACCTTTAGCAGAAAATTTTTTCCTTTAGTTTAATATTTTTCATTTTAATTGTTTTTTAAGAGCCTTAAGTTTATTCCTTCGAGAAGCTATAACTCTTGTTTTTTTTTTTTTTTAATTTGAAAAGCTAGTAACCATAATGGATTTGGACCGGCTATTTTGGAGGCTAAGTCACCGCCTAAACCTATTATGACTAGATTTAAGAAAACAAGTAACACCACCTCTATATAAAGAGGTGGTGCCTCTTCCATAATGAATATCTTATATACATTTTCTACACCTTCTACACACAATACACATACCTCTCTCTCTATTCTCTTTATTCTCTTATTGACTTAAGTATCGGAGAATCTACTATCGGAAGACACCCGAGGCTCTGTTTTACAGGTTTTAGGCCATCTGGCGCCGCCTAAATCATCGTTGCAGCCCGTCCTAAAACACCGTACAAATCCAAGATTCATTATAATACTTTATTGGTTTTATTTTCCTTGTCTTTGGGAGGATGAATTCCTTCATTCAAGAGAAATATAAGATGATTTTCTTTCGTAAAAGTTAATTATTGCTGTGTTAAGATTATGAGGCAGTTTCACTGTAAACATAATCCAAGTTCAAATCTTTGAAAGGACATATACATTAATAATTAAATTGGTTTTTGGAAGAATTTTGTATATCCGATCCGAAATGTCGAGATAATAATTTTGAACAGTGTTTCATACACTGAAAGATAAATATGGATAAGATGGGAGAAATATGCATGTGCACTTCTAGCCAAATACTACTTATTGCTAGTAGTGATTCACTTAATATAAAGCGTGTGTATGATATGGATGAATACCTGAATCAAAAGCATGAAAACCATCCAATTCCTAATATTGATTCATTGAAAATAGATATAAATCCTAGTTTCCTGAAATGTGTTAATCTAGAAATTTATACTTACTTTTATTGTAGAAAAAAAATGATATAAATTCCCAGAGAATAACAATTTACAGAGAACAAAAAACTTTCATGTAGTAAAATGAATAAAAACAATTGAAGTTATTTATTTCTTTTTTGATAAATTACAAACCCGATATTTTAAGATATTAGTTTAGCTAACTCAAATTCGAATAGGATATATCTCTCTTTCAAGTTTCAAGTATCTTATGGCAGATCTTTTTTCTTTGATTTTTTTTTTCTTCTTTTATGTTGATTTCATTTTATTTTTTGGAAGCCTCTCTTATTGGATCATCATTCATCATGATCTACTACAATTGAAATCCAGGGAATTGGTGATTGGTCCCACCAAGAACCATAAAGTAGACGAAGAAAATGAATGGGACCTAACACCTTCAGAAAAGTTAAATGCACTTAGCCATTAACAGAGGCTGGGTGTCACATGGGATGCTTTGGAACATATGCATTGGTCTCCTGGATCTTGACCCCTGTTTTCTGCTGCTTCATTTTTTCCATATATATATATATATATATATATATATATATATATATGTGTACACTTATTTACGAGTATTATTTGTTGCCCCCTTTTCTTTAATGCATGCTTCTGCGTAATAAATTTCTTCATGCACGTTCCAACTTCCACCAACCAGTTATAGAGTAGTATTAAACTGTACGTACTCGTTTTTTAGTTGCATTCTTGATCATAATTTTCAAAATCCCGATCCGGATCGCTGAATCCTAAATCTTATAGACTCCTTCAAAATCCCAATCCAAATCCTAGAATTTTAATGATCCTATTAATTTTATCGATAGTTGTATAAGTTGTTGATTTCATATAAAAAGAGGAGGAAATGATTAGAAAAGATATAAAAGTTGAAATTTTGAGTTGATGATACTAATGCAGACACTAGTCTACTTCTCCTCTATAAAATCAAACAAGAATTGAACGAACAAATTGATCTCGTAATTTCATAATTATTATAATATTTTAAATGGTTACGATCCCATCGATCCAGAATCCAATCCGATCTTGAGACGTCAAAACGATCCTGTGTGAAATTCCGATTTTGAAAACACTGTTCTCAATTCATTGCTGACTCCACCCCAACAACTTTTTTTGCTCAAAGTTAAACTACCATGCTCTTTATTTGATTGCATCTCAAAAATTAACCCCCTTTTTGCATATTCTATGCTTACATTAACGAATTATTGTCGTGTTACACATTTTTTTAAGTTAGGGTTTATATCGTGCCTTTTAGTTTCACCATGTATGGTTACCTCAATCATATAAACTTTTTCTCTTAAATTCAAGGAATTATAACGTGAAACAAAGTGTTAAGAATTTGGTTCTTTGAAGACCACTTCTCTCCTGCTCCTTTTTCAGGCTTTTTACAAAAAATTTAACACTGGTAAAAAAAAAGGTAAAAAATGATAGAAAAAAGAAACGAAATATACGTCAAGTGATGGAACACAATGGCACCAAACTGAGCGAAGCATATATGAGCTCATAATACAAAGTGATCCCATCATCCTCTTCTTGACCTAGTTAGTAGCAAAGCAAGCATGCACTCATGAAATGCTTTTACATATGCTCTTACTAATTTGATATCATCACTCCAGATTTGTTACCAAAAGGACCACTCCATCAAAAACAACCAACTCTTTCAATGGCTATAATCATGAGGCCATGATTTTATTTATTTTTTTATTTTATTTATTTTTTTTCCGTTAGTCTATTACCAGCTACAGTTGTTTGTCACGTAAGTGATTCTCTCTAAAACCCAAATACCGTTTTTCCTTAATACTACTATTACAATCACGAAAAGCTGGATTTTAGTTGCTGCTGTAATTGATAAAGTTTACCTATCGATCGAAACCTAGTGTGGATTTCATCAAATTTGGCCTGTCAAACGACATATATCTGTTGGCATTTGTCTACTAGCTACTACTACTTGATACGAAAAGTGATCATTGAATCTTTCTCATTTGCTGATAACTTTATATACGTAAAAACAAGAGGAATAACTTTATAAATTAATTAATCAATAAAAACAGGAAGAACTAAAGCTAGCTAAAGTATATAACTATATATATATATATATATACGTATATACGTACAAACAACACATGCAACGGGACTTACCAATTACGTAAATAATTCCATCGAAATGGAAAGCTCACGTCTTTTCACGTGCATGCTGTTATGTAACTTTACAAACAAACAAATAATAATACAACATTACAATAATTTTAGAATCACGTTTCGAGAAGAAAAGCTTAGGGAATTGTACCCCAAAAAAAAAAGAAGCTTAAATTACAAGCAAAAATAAGTATTACACTATCACCAATTTAACCGACATTGATTCGGCTAATTAAATTACAGAAATTAAACAAATAATAATATTGCCCCCATAATATAATTAACCAAGATCTTTCGTCTCAATTAATCTCAACAAGTACGTAACGGGGAGCCACATAAACAATCATTATTAGCAAAGGAAGAAGCTCCAAGATGTTCGAATGGTTCTCCAATCGGAATGGTTCCACATAGATGATTATAGCTCAAATCCAGATGTCCAATATACCTGACCGATGATAATGACTTTGGAATCGGACCCTTGAATTTGTTGTACGATAAATCCAGGACGGAGAAGTAAGTTTCCGGCCCGAAAACATCCGGCAATTCGCCCTCCAAATTGTTCCGGCTAGTGTTCAAAACATTCAAGCCGGAACTACTCAGCAAGCTGCTCGGAATGTTGCCGTAGAATTGATTGCTATCCAAGTTGAGGGTGGAGAGGACCCGCATTGACCCGAACTGACCCGGGATCAAACCCGAAAGCTTGTTCATGGATAAATCCAAATCCGCCAGCCTATAGATGTTGGAGAACGAAACCGGGATCGAGCCGGTGAGTTGGTTCTTGCTCAACAAAGCCCGGCTCATCATCGTGAGTTTTCCGATGTCGGACGGGATTGCTCCGGTGAGCTGGTTGTTGTTGAGGTCCAGGTGCATGAGGCTTCCGAGGTTGACAATCGACGCCGGGATACAGCCGGAGATCCTGTTGTCAGCGAGGTTGAGGACGGTGAGCCGGCCCAGCGACCCAATATCGGCCGGAATCTTCCCAGAGATCTGGTTCCCGGCGAGGTCGAGGATCCGTAGTTTGGGGAGGGACGACGGAATGCAAGCCGGGATTTCGCCGGAGATGGCTTTCCAGTCAGCAACGATGAGGGTGCTGAGACGGTCGAGTTTGCACAGAGCAGGAGAGAGGGAACCGGTCATGTAACCGGACCGGCCGGCCTTTTCGAAGATGGGGTCCTCGGATTCTCCCCGGAGGATAATGTCGGCGACTCGGCCGGTGGTGGGGTCACAGCTGACGCCGTAGAAGTCGGAACAGCATTTGGTGCTGCTGGGCTTCCAGGAATCGAAGATCTTCAAGTAAGGCTCGTTCAAGGCAGCTTTGAAAGCTAACAATGCCGCCTTGTCCGCCGGCGAGCAGGCATTCACGAAACCCACCGCCAGGGATATGAAAATGGCGGCCAAAAACAGCCTCATTGTTGGATAAATAATGAATGTGGTTGGTTTAGTCCAGTGGGTGTAGTAATGAGACGTTGAGAGTATGGGGGAATGGAGGAAGTGGAGAGAGATATAGTAGTATGTGACTGTGTGTGTGTGTGTGAACTCTGAAAATTAAAGTGATCCTGCTTAAATAAATTCGGAGGTGGACGCCCTTCTATTTGGCTTGAAATTATAACTGAGATGTAATCTGGGCTCCAAAACAGTATTATGTCCTCCGTCCCATAATTATTGTCCAATTTGAATTTTCATTTTTAGTTCAAATTATATAACATTTTTTTAAATGCATTGATAATTTTCTCTTAGTTAACCTAGCTTCCTTGGCCATCTAAAACCAACAATTATATTGGTAGTAGAGGTTAAGATTGACTTGTACTCCATTGAGTATATATATTTACGCCTCCGTAGATTGATCTCAAAATGACCGGTTAAAAATATAGCAAACAAAGTTAGTAATAATACTCAATATAATCAAATGATTGTTAATTATTGTTAATTCTTACTACAGCCTGCAAAACTTCTTCACCTTATCAGGATTATAGCCTTTACCAAACAGTTACCTCTCTTCTGAGTATTGAGTTCAAGTTCAGAACTGGTGATGACATTTATGGATTTATACATTTAACAACTTATAGGAATTGGAGATGACAAAAGTAGATGCTCGATAAGTCTCAAAATAATTAATAAATTTTTATGTGAAAAATAAAAGTACTATAAAAAATCTCCATTTTCCTTTTCCGAGCATTTCATTATGTGTTTGAAGCAACTGACCTATTAATCCATTAATACACAAGTTTAATGCATTAAATAAAACTATGTTCATGAAATGAAAGAAATAAATCATAGCGATTCTTATTCAAAAGTTTAAAAGATGTAGCAAACTATCATTTCTGTCTTTTTACATAAAAATTGTATACAGTGAATGAATGAAATAAAGAAAGATTTTTTCATGAGAAGTCATCAATAACGACATGTTCCGAAATGCAAATGGCTTATTCATGGATTGCCAATTCTAACAGAACTTCAATTTAACTTTTCTTTAACCTTCAACTTAAACTTCTATTCATCTAATTTCAAATGCTAATTCTTAACAGTTTGAAAGATAGTGCATATGCAAGTATATAAACAACGAGGAAAAAGTGAGTAACATAAATGTGTCACTGAGGAATCAGGGCCCTCAATTTAATTTCCGCCTACTGTAATGTAAAATGCTACTATCTCTATCTTAAAAAAATATTTCGCGTAAATATTTTTGAATTTATACTCCTTTCATCTCGAAATTATTGTCCAAATCAAAATTTTATTTTTAGTTTAAGTTGTACTAAAAATAATAATCCAGTCAAGATAATAATTTTGGAACCAAATGAATATTAAAACTAGTACAAATCTCAAAACCGAAAGTGTTTTTTTTTTTTTTTTGGAGAGAGGAGGATAAAGTTAGCCATCATTTTGTTTCCTCAGTTTGTTTGTTTCATTTTTTATGTATTCAAAATCAGACCCAATGGCAGTCGATTTGACTAACACGAGATTTAGTCAGTAACCACACTGATTACAATGTTTGAATTAATAGTACTTATTTAAGACTCACAGAAATCCATCAAAGGGATGTCATCAAATATTTATTAATGTTGGAATAATGTAATCGCAGTCTGGGGTTGTGTGTTACCTTAATTTTGGAGGTCGACAGCATGCATGCATTTGTATGGGTTAGTCATAAATAAAAGATGGCTACTTTTGTACTACTTCGTTCCAGTTATTTTAGCTACAGATTTTGCTCCAAATTTACTCCATTTTATTTGATTCTTAATATAGTTAAACTCACAAATAACGATACTTTTGTAATTAGTCCCAATAATCTGTATTTGCACTTTGCAGTAACACTTTCTAGCGTGTGAAATTTATGCTCTCTCTTTTTATTTATTTATTTATTTTAATGATTTCAGTAAACTTTTTTCCTTTTAAACGAAATTCAAGAAAAATACTGGGAAAAAAAAAACCTTTCAGTCTCAATTTGGTTTTGATCGAGAGGTAACATCCGTCTAAATGTATAACAAAATTTAAAAAAAAAATAAAAAAACCGAACTTCTGTTCCTTTTTACAAGTAGTTGGGGAATATTTTTGAACTGGATTATTAACCAAATGCAACTAGGTTTTGATCTAGTAGGACACTGATGTAGTCTTATTCATCAATGATATTCTATATATGATTTCACGTAAATCCATTCCTTTCATTCAGACATATAAAATGTTTTTAATACAACAAATAAAACTCATATTTTGGAGAGGTTAGAGCACTAAGTACCCACAAAAACTCATATTCTTCCAGTCAAATACTCCCTCCGTCCCATAATTATTGTCCACTTTGCCCAAAAAATTTTGTCTCAAAATTATTGTCCAATTTGACTTTTTATGGATCAAGTTACACATTTGTCCTTAGTAAAAAATATTATCTATAAAATCTTAGTGTTTAAACAATTACTTATGTAGGGGTATATCCGGTTGTTTAAGGTAAAATATAGTTAAGTTTGACCAAAAATAAAATCTTTCATTTTAGTAAAATTGGACAATAATTATAGGACGGAGGGAGTACAACACAGTATAACCATGAGCAATTACTTGAACGTTAGAGATTATTTCCATTTTTCTTTTTAACTTCTTCCAATTTCTTAGTTGAAGTTTAGTTGTAAAATTTAAATATAAATTGTATGTCCTTTTATTTCAAAATAATTGATGTCCTATTTATTTTTATTATATTAGTTTCATAACTGAACGATCATTTTAAAGATTAAGAGGGAGTATGGTTAGATATCTGACAGCAAGATATATGAGTTTTGAGTTACCGACATCTTTTTTGTGCATATGAGAAGTACTGGTTGCTCGTTATGGAGACATCTATCCTTTATTCCTTATTAGTAAATGAGTATCATATACTGAGTATGTTATATTCCTTACGTCCAAAAAAAAATAATTCACATTCAATTTTGAATTTTATACTATTTTTAGTACAAATTTGAAATTTAATATGGATTATTTTTTTTTTTTTTGAAATAGATGTAGTAAAAGCTTGTCTTATTGAAATCGTTCGGGAAGAACTGAAAATAAATCCAAAAAAAAAAAAAAGCATAAGAATTTAGTACAAAAAAACACATCACATGTACAAAAAATGTGCATTTGTCGAACGAATATTATTTCATGTGTTAAAGCGAGTAGAGCCATACGAATGCGATACTAGATATCCATGATTATTTAGCTCATCATTTAGTAGGAGTTTTTGATATTGGATTATGTATATCTAAAAAAATTGGGTATCCAAAATACATTTTTATAATAAAAGAGAGGTAACAGTTACAATATTAAATTAATATATCCCGTAGATGGTAACCGATTATATTACTGTGTTCTTGTTACATTTTAAAATTAAGATAGGAAATCATATGATTATCAAAACCCTCCTAAATTAGTAACCGCCAAAATGTATAATGCCATAAATCTGGAATTTTTTTTTAAAGAACATGCTTCAAGTCAGGGATCCAATCCTTTACACAACAAATACTGTAATAACTAAATTTGGGCTCTTTACGACATGGTAATTAGTGAAGTTAACTAAAAGAAATGAACTAAATTTGCACTAAATAAGAAATCTCAATTACCAATAGGATTGATCACAAGGTCATCAAAATTCATGATTTGTTTGTGTTGTGATAGAAAGGGCATAAACTCAATATACTACGAAAGCGAACCTCAAGAAAAATCTCCTTTTCTACTAACAATAAAATAGGACAACTAATCAAACAAGCAAATAATTCAAGAACTGATAAAGTAAAGTAGATACACAGATTTACGTGAAAAATCCAAACGAAAAAAATCACGAGACTGTAACAACAGTCAAATCTCCACTATCACAATAATTGAAAAACAGTTTTCACCAATCAGTAGATACACAGAACTTCACCCAAAGGTGAATTACAACAATACTCTTCCACAACACCTATCACAAAGTAGGATTGGAAGGATCTCACCAAAAAGAGCTAAACTGAAAACTGAACCAGAGGAATTGTATATCTTGTTGAGAGGAATACACATGTAAACTTGCACCAACAGTTGACTCTGTTACGTCACCCGATCAAAGTATCAAAGTTAAACACTTTCTTCTCACAACGCCAAAACCCCCAGAAACCCTAACTTTCTCTCTTTTCTCTTGTGCACAAAGGATTTGCACGGTTGCCCTTTTTCTTAGCTGAACTCACGACTAAAAAACTAAAGACCATCTTGCTTTTATAAGCCAAAAAAAAAACCAAAACCCAAACCCGATTGAGATGGATTTTGTTGTCCCCGGTCAACAACCAAAACCTAAGCCAAATTGGCTTTTGGTTTCACGCAATGCTGGCCCAGTTGAGGGGAAAACCAGCGCAACAATCTCCCTCTTCACCTCAAATGGGAGGTAAAACCAACCCCGCTTTCTGTTTATAAACAGGAGATTATTTCTACTTACAGTCTTCGTCAACATATCAGCACCGTTGTCATCCGTATGGATCTTCTCAAGAAATAACGCCTTGGACTCCAACATATCCGGGATCCACTAATATCTCACATTAATATGTTTTGACCATTCTTCGCTAAGTGAATAGCGCTCTGTCTATCACAATACACCACATAACTCTCTTGCTTCATGCCAAGCTCTTGTAGAAACTTCTACAACCAAAGTGTTTTCTTACAAGATTCAGTAGTTGCGATATACTCTGCCTCTGTAGTAGACAAAACAACACATTTCTGCAACCTACTCTGCCATGAAACTGCTCCCCCTCCATAAGTCATCAAGTAACCAGAAGTAGACTTCCGACCATCCAGGTCACCCGCCATGTCAGGATCTGTATATCCATCTACCATGGTCTTCCCATTGCCAAAGCAAAGACTCGATCTGGAAGTACCCCTAAAATACCTGAGAATGCACTTAACAGTATTCTAATGCTCCTTACCAGGATTGGAGAGAAACTGACTAACAACACCAACTGCATGAGCTATGTCTGGCCTTGTACAAACCATCGCATACATCAGGCTGCCAACTGTCGAAGCATAAGGAACCTTTTTAATCTCTTCCTTATCTTTCTCACTTTTAGGACACTACATTCTGCTTAGCTTAAAATGCCCCGCAAGTGGAGTCGAGACTTCCTTAGCACCGCTCATGTTAAACCTATCAAGAACCTTCTAGATCTACTTCTCTTG